ACCGTCAGGATCGTATATACGTATGTACAATAATAGGTAAATTTTATAATCTCGATGCTGGCAATACACGAAGTCATACTATTTAAAAAAAAAAGAAATAGAAGTTTCTAACGCACCGGCTTTCCTATTATTCAAACCGAATTAAACGATTCATCCGAGTGGACTTCTTAAATACTTTGACGCCAATCAGAATCTATACTCTATACTAATATATAAATCTATAGTGGTTTTTACGGATGTTCCGTTATGACTACTGCATCATGCATCCGATTGACTTGAAACCTGGCATCCGTGTAGAAAATACATGTACTTAATGGATAGGCTAATATTTATATGAGTGTTGGACTCTCTACACCAGTTGCGGAGGCCTTAATTATGAGAATCTTTGTGGGGGTGAGAAATAATGATGTTAATTTTAAATGCCCAGTGAAGCGGACGGATACAACCAGTACTCTATAATTATTTTCAAATAGCAATGCGTCCCATACGATTTACGACGATCTTGTCCATTTATACCGAAGCACTTAATTGATATGCGGCAGTGATAGATAGATGGTGGTACCTACACATCCTAAGCTCATACACACACAATACGCTCATAATATCGCATCAGCAAATACTATCAACACATTCATACAACTACAACATAGAATTACATAGGTACTTAAATTATTCAAAAGGACATTATCGAATTTACCCCACTTGCGATTTTTACCTCACCCCACCCTAAAACCACACTTAAACGCGTTTAATTTTAACAGCATTCACTTTCATTGTTCGCCAGTAATTACTCCGATTTAATTTGTTTATTTCGACCCCAAATAATTAATTAAGTATGCGTGCGTAACAACTGCTCTACATTACGGATTCGCACTGGTGCCTTGAGAACGCGCTGTTTTAAAATAATAATAAAAAATTAGAGATTTTTTTTTGTTTATTGTTTTACAGGTGGAAATACAGGTAAGACTCCCACAAGGTTCGCCACAATGATCTTTTTTTTTATTGTTTAGATGGGTGGACGAGTTCACAGCCTACCTGGTGTTAAGTGGTTACTGAAGCCCATAGACATCTACAACGTAAATGCGCCACCCACCTTGAAATATAAGTTCTAAGGTCTCAGGTGTAGTTACAACGGCTGCCCCACCCTTCAAACCGATACGTATTACTGCTTCATGGCAGAAATAAGCAGGGTGGTGGTACCTACCCGCGCGGTGGTATCACCTACCTACCAACCTATCTTGCGCAGCCCGTATCCGGGGGATTTTCGCTACCAAGTCGTCAGTTCATGTCATGGGAGGGCTACCTGCAGCGTTTTTCTGTATGCGGCTGTCATTCGAGAACTTTTTGGTTTCAACAGCCATCTGTTCTTCCAAAAATGTGCCCTATCCAATACCACTTCAACCTCGAAAGCATTATTCGTTTGTAAAATCTTTTTCGGTATCTATCACATTATTTTACATTGTTTTTATTGTCCTTGTAGGCAGACGAGCACACGGCCCACCTGATGGTGAGTGGTTATCGTCGCCCATGGACTTCAGCAATGCCAGGGGCAGAGCCACGCCGCTGCCTACCGCAAAATATATTTAACGTTTTATTAATTTGGTTTAGCAATTTCCGAAGTTCCACAATTTCAGGGATTCGTGCTCATGGCCCACTGATTTACCATCAACGATGTATGTTCCCGGACAGCAGTACTGTAAGACAATCCAGCAATACTCAGACATCGTGCGAACAACTTGCTATGAACTAGTTGAACGTTTTTAATATTTTCAAGTGAACTTGAAACCCGATCTTTAATCCGGTTGACTTTGAAACACGTACAATATTATCTTTTAATTCCTCTTACATTACTACTTTTTCATTTAATAAAAAGAAAACATCCTGTATCTCAGATATGTTACTTATTATTATTAATATTATAATAATACTAGCTGTACCCGTCCGCTTCGTTGGGCATTTAAAATTAATATTATTATTTCTCACCCTCACTAAGATTCTCATCATTAACGCCCCCGCAACTGGTGTAGGGAATCCAACACTCATATAAATATTAACCTATCCATTAAGTATATGTCATATCTACATGGATGCCAAGTTTTAAGTCAATCGGCTGCATGGTTCGGTACTTATAACGGAACATTCGTAAAAACCACTGTAGATTTATATATTAGTATAGATTATTATTAATTAATAAAATATTACAACTTGGCCGCCATGAAGCGATTTAGTTTTTGTAGTTACTTTGTAGTTAAAGTTTTTTTAGTCTAATGGTGGTAGGACCTCATGTGATTCCGCGCGGGTAGGTACCACCACCTTGCCTATTTATGCCGTGAAGCAGTAATGCGTTTCGGTTTGAAGGGCGGGGTAGCCGTTGTAACTATACTTGAGGCCTTAGAACTTATATCTCAAGGTGGGTGACGCATTTACGTCGTAGATGTCTATGGGTTCCAGTAACCACTTCACACCAGGTGGGCTGTGAGCTCGTCCACCCATTTAAGCAATAAAAATAAAAGAGGCTGTCCGTAGCAGAAAAAGTCTAGACAAATGACTAAAACACATCGCGCGTCTTACCTACTAGGCCGCGTTTCGCTCACACATGAACGCGTCGCACAAACTTCTGCATAAATACGGGTGCGTGACATTTTCTCGTAATATAATTAATTCCTCAGAGCACTTCACGATTAGATAAGACACCGTGAGAACGCGGCTTTCACCCACGTCAAGTGAAACAGGTGCCATGTTTTTTTACAATCTTCTCAATGAGAACAATCGGCTGTCATGTCATTACGCCCTATGCGGCGACCACAATTTGCTTTCCGGAAGATTTTTAGGGACAGTCTAAGATTAATGCGGATTTTTTTTTTTTATGATTGTAGGATTACTTGTGGCCCGGAGGCCTTTTCAGTTTCACCAGGACAGGTGGGCGAGCAAAGGCTCAGCCAGGAGGGGTGGGATTTGCTAACAGCTACCCGAGCGCCTCCGAAGGAGACCTAACAGCTCAAGAGCAGCTGCTTCGCGAATGAATCTACTACCAGATCGGAATCGCGACCCGCTGAGAAGATCCGGCGAGAAACTCAGCGAGCTGATTCATGGGTTAGGTTGTACGGCGAACTCTTTGTCGAGTTCGACGAGTACTGTTACCGGGGTCCCTAAGCCTGCTCCTAGTGTTAGAGCTGAAGGCGTCTAATGCAAAGGTTGTTGGATCTGATGGATCCGTAAGGACGTGTCTAGGGCGTCGACGGTGACTGGCTCCTGCGTGATCAGGATTCGGGGAGTAGTCAGCGGCGGCAACGATAAGGCGATTATCATGACGCATAGCCTTATCGAAGTACCGTTCCGACGCTGACTTCATGTATTTCTGGATAGATTCGAGGCCCAGGTCTTCGTGTAGGTCAACGTTCCTCACGAACCACGGAGCTCCAACGGCTAACCTGCAAAAGCGGGATTGTAGAGATTGGAGGGTGTCTATGTGTGTGCGGGCCGCGTGAGCGAACACCACACTCGCGTAAGTCATAACGGGCCTTATGCAAGTTTTGTAAAGTGTCACCTTGTTCCGAAGGGACATTTTACTCCGGTTACAGATCATGGGGTAGAGTCTACCGAGAATAAACGCGGCACGGTCACGGACTGATTTTATATGCGGGCGGAATGTCATCGATGCATCCAGGGTAACGCCCAGGTACTTGACCTTCCTGGCCCAGGGTATGGTTTGTCTAAAGAGAGTAATCGGGGGTGTCTGACGTAGATTAACGTATTTAATCGATACACCCGACAGTCTAAATTGTTCAGAATTAATATGTATTCTGTGATAAACGATAAAGGGAAGATCTTACATAGAACGGGTGTAATTGCTTTTTTTATAGCTTAGATAGGTGGAAGAGCTCACGACCCACCTGGTGTTAAGTGGTTACCGGAGCCCATAGACTTCTACAACGTGTCAATGTCAAAATATTCAATGCCACCACCCACCTCGAGATATGAGTTATAAGGTCTCAGTTTTAACATTACAACGGCTGCCCCAACCTTCAAGTCGTAAGGCAGTACTGCTTCACGGCAAAAATAGGCAGGGTGGTGGTACGTACCCGTGCGGACTCACAAGATGTCCTACCACCAGTAAAACTTGCTTGCTTGGTAGACGGATGGTCCGGTGTTAATATTTGTATGTATTATTCAAGTTTATCATTAAAATGTCGGTAACGAGATTCAGGCCTTTGTCAAATATATTGTGTTCCATGATAGCCACCCGCTTACAAATGTCCTTGCTTCTGGCCTATTGAAATCTGTTCATATTTGAAAATGTATATATCGGTTTTCTAAATAATATTATTTTTGATATTTATGCTGTTATACTAAAATGCAATCTACTTAAATCATTTACAAAATTAGACTCGATAATGAGAACCCTATGTTATTATTATTATTAGAGTGTAAAAAAAATATTATTACATAAAATGGAACTTATGTAGCAAGTTTATTGATAAAAACTTCTTTTAGAAACCTACACTTTTTTTTTATTTATTGTTCAAATTACGCTACTAAACTGAAAACATAAATTAGTTAGCTTTCTCGCGCTTAGCCCAGTTCATAATCAATTAGAAACAAAAGATTATAATATGATATGTCCTTAAAAATCTTTAAATCGTGGTGCTAATACAATCGATTAGTTTAATTATTGGAGATATTATCGGTATACCGTCTGTGCGTCGCATCCGATTTCCCTTTTCATTCTAATGCTTCCAGAAAATGGGTCAAACCCGTTCACAATAGTTTTCTTTAATGTAAAATAAGTTTCATGTAAAATAACTTAGAAAAAATCTAAGTTATTTTAAATAAAATTATTTCCCAGACTTTTATTTGTTACATGTTAAACAAGGCCCAATTGACGTAAAACTCTATTTTAGTCCTTATCTACCCACAATTTATCATACTAGTTTAGAACAATTTTAAAGTATTTTCTGCTTCTATTTAAATAGTCTATATTTACTTTAAGAATGACTCACCGTAACCATTTCTTCGTAATCTACACCATGAGGCTGGGTTTCATTTTTCAAAGCTTTCCACACCTTCAGCCCGTCTTTCTTGATTAAACCTTCCTGCTTCTTCAGGACTAGCTTTAGCTGCCTCCCGAACGCCTCCAAGTCGATCTTATGCACACCATCTTCTTGACTCTCGGCAGAATGTTCTTTATCACTCAATGATTCACTGTCACCAAATTCACTAGATTGAACTTTGAAGTTCACACTAACTGTACTATTCGGATCTCCAATGATATCAACATCTTCGATACGCTTCTTTGCTTCGACAAACATCTCGTCATTGAGCAAAGAGGGGGCCTTGTACCCACCTTTAGTGACTTTTTCGGTTTTTAAATGGGGGGTCTTTCCTGAATCGGCGCTGTTCGAGTTCGCTGGATGAGAAGTGGGTATATTCCTTCTGGCCAAGTGATGTGTGAGCTGAACCAGGTGGTATTCTGGTACTCTGCTGTGGTGCTCGACATGGAAGACGTTCCGAAGCTCATCTATTGTCATGTGCTCGTGGATCTGAAAAGAAATTAATAATAATTTTATAAACAGTTCCTGAAGACCAAAAACAATACTTAGTGGCTTAAACATACACATTTTGAGTGACACCAAAATAAATACAATTTGCAGTATATTTTTTTAGGTTTTCATAATAACTTTTAAAAATTTGTGAGAACTATGCTGAGTCCCACGGGCTGAGGTACAATGCCAAGAAGAGTGAACTGCTAGTGTTCAAAGCGCAGAACAAAACTTACGAGAACGTACCTCCAATCTGGCTAGCGGGCGCAACGCTTACACAAGTCAAGCGCTTCAAGTACCTCGGTCACTGGGTAACAGAGGATGGTACGGATGATTGTGATATAGATAGGGAGCGTAGGGCGTTGATAGTAAGATGCAACATGCTGGCCCGCAGATTTACTGGTTGCGATAGCTATGTCAAACTTACAATTTTTAAAGCTTATTGCCAGAATTTTTACGCCAGTAGTCTGTGGACCACATACACGCGGAGAGCTTACAATGCCCTACGTGTCCAATATAATAATGCGTTTAGGATGATGTTGTCACTGCCGCGCTTTTGTAGTGCATCCACAATGTTTGCGACATCTCACACCGATGACTTCTTTGCAATAATGCGGAAGAGAAGTGCATCGTTATTGCGTCGAGTTCGTGACAGTGGCAACAGTCTTTTAAGAATCATATCGAGCAAGATCGAGGGACTGCTGATCAATAGCCTTTGCAGTAGGCACTTGGAAGGAGAAAAAAAATATATAATGGTATAAAATGTATATAATGATATGAATGTATATAATGAATTTTTTTTTTTAAGTTACTAACATAGATTATAAGTAATTATTACTAACAAAATGTTATGGTTTAAAAAAAAAAAAAAAACTGAGAAAAAGTGTTAATAATAATAATAATAATAACAAAAACTAATATGCGGCTTTGTTTAAATCACTTGAAATTTTAAATCGTAATACTTTTATTTAACGCATTAGGCAGGATTTCCGAAATAAGACCTTTATTAGAATAACCCTCAAGCATATTCTCATATTTTATATTTTGAAAATTATTAATAATAATTATTAATATTAGATAAATAAAATGCAATTTGTTGTAGTTATGGTACATTATTAGTGGCACACATCACAAAAATATCAGTCGAATAATCGAGAAATTTAATCCACCAACGTAATTAGTAGATAAAATAATTTCATGGTGTCAATATACATACATTAATTCTCTCATCAAATACTGACTTATTCGGAGGGAAACTTTTCGTTGCAGACACCTTACTTAACTTAACTAACTACTTAATTTAGTACTACATTTATTTTAAATGATCTTTCTACGAAATCGCTCAAAACTTATGTAAAACTCTACGGCAAAAAAAATCAAGTTTTTTTTAAACACACATCCGTATAGTTTGTTTGAATGTCAACATTGTGAAACACGTAAACCTTGGATAAGGTCAATACTACGAGTTTATTCGATCCTTTCTCGATTTATTTGCGGTTCTTTAGGTCGGCCGTGTGTAATGTATCGTGTTATGCGAAATATTCATAATTGCTGCGTACGCGATACTACTAGTCACTTCTATCCGTCTTTTTTTTTTTTATTGCTTAGGTTTGTGGACGAGCTCACAGCCCACCTGGTGTTAAATGTTTACTGGAGCCCATAGACATCTACAACGTAAATGCGCCACCCACCTTGAGATATAAGTACTAAGGTCTCAGTATAGTTACAACGGCTGCTCCACCCTTCAAACCGAAACGCATTACTGCTTCACGGCAGAAAATAGGCGGGGCGGTGGTACCTACCCGTGCGCGCTCACAAGAGGTCCTACCACCAGTAATTACGCAAATTATAATTTGGCGTCTTTGATTTTAATTACACGATGTTATTCCTTCACCATGGAAGTCAATCGTGAACCGTCTACTGTGGTCTACTGTCGTTGATTTTTTTTTATTACGCCAATTCTGTAGTTTGATAGGTATCTACCGTTGTCAAGTAAGTTTGGTTTCAACCGTACAGTTGAAATAGAAGCCAAATTGCACCGCAGAAAGGATGGGTACATATGCCAATCTCCCTTAGAAACATTTGAAGAAACAGCCAGTCAAAGTCAGCAGACAATGCCTGTTTTTCAATTTTCACAAACCTATTTGGTTCATATTAAAATGACTATGTTCATAATTCAGAGATTATTTTTCTCTGGATCGAAAATTAAATTATGACGGCAAATATTTTTTACGATCGCATTACTGCTTCATGGCAGAAATAGGCAGGGTGGTGGTACCTACCTGTGCGTACTCACAAGAGGTCCTTTTACCAGTAAACAGCCTACCACCAGTAATAACAGCTAAATATAAAAGTCTGTATTAAATAAGACATTGCATAACCAGTCTCTTTACAATGAGAGCCTCTAAGCCACAGTCCAAAGATAATTTCAAAACAATAACAGCACGCAGAGACCTCACATTTCTTAATCCAAAGATATTTAATTACATACATTCGCATTGCGAACGAAAACTTAAACAATTTTTCCTTATATTGTTCTTGTCCGTTCACTAAGAACTTAAATCGGACATACAAAAATGCTCTTAATTCGCATTGAGCTAGCTCCGCAAATCCTTTGAGAGCACATCGACATTTCATTTCTAAATCTTAATGTAAATATAAACTTTATTTCGTTACGGGTAAAGGTGAATTTTGTTAGTGGTTTGAGTGTAAGGGCACGGACACATGTTACGAAATGGTATCGTTCGGTTGTATTGCTCTGAGTCACGAATGTACGACTGAAACTGAGACGCAAGGTCGTGGTTGTAGAAAGTTTTTATATTTGCGCTGAAAATATGATAAAAGGTAGGCATAAAGAGTACCACCACCATAAACAAGGTAGGTTGGTAGGACCTCTTGAGACTCCGCGCGTTGCGGCAGCCGTTGTAACTATACCTGAGACCATAGAACTTATGTCTCGAGGTGGGTGGCGCATTTACGCATGTAGATGTCTATGTGCTCCAGTAACCACTTAACATCAGGTGGGCTGTGAGCTCGTTCACCCATCTAAGCAATAAAAAAAAAACAAATATACACAAACACTTTCCCGTTATCAAGCATATTAGTGAAACATTCCAATTTCTCTAAGCTTCTAATTTCGAAAATTTATGCAGTAAAATTTGTTAAATAACCCCTAAAGTCTCATGTTTATCAACGGTATTTACTTTATGTGGTCTCTGAAGCTCAGTAGTCCAATTTGTTTCAGAATTAAATCGTGAAACATGTGTCTTAATGAGTTCAAGTAGTTCACAGTACTGCTCAATTTTAGATACAATGACTCATGAGTGTTTGGACCTTCGAGCATACTACGCATCGAATCATGATTATTAACCTAGCTCGTGAGCTTCAGTAATACGAGGGGCACACCCAAGCTGGTGTTCACCACTAGAGGCTCTTTCTAAAGCCGCATTTTAAGGAGGACATTTCATAGCGCTCATGACTAATGCAACTTTCATTCCAGGACACATTGGCAAGATCTCCGAATAAAGCTGTTATAATCAATCGGGGTAAAACTTGCTACAGTAGGGTAGAAATAAATATATATAGATCTATATATGAGAGAAATATATATATATATATAGATAGGTCATAGCCAAAATTCAATTCAATGGTTTTGTCTAATCATTGCAGAAAACCCAACAAAAAGGTTTGAGATTGACATAAATTATGGGGAAAATCACGTGATCATTGACCTTGTTGAATGTGCTCATATATAGAGTGGGTGTGATATTATGTAGGGTGATAATAATAATTATTAACAAGACATGACAGTTTGCAACCTGTTTATTGGGCGACGACTCGACACAGACTGAACTAAGCTAAGCCACACCAGAAATAGAACAAACATTGTGCTGGAAGAAAAATAACTTCACCAAATCGACCGTATCTGATTTATTTTGATTATTTATTCATTATTTCAAAAGTGTTGATATTTAAACCTAATTTAGTTCGGAACAATAGCCTTTAGAAAGTTCGGCTAAAGTTATTAATGGTTACAAACGTTGCTTATACTGAAGTAATTGTAGCGTCAATGGCATTGATAATAAGGTATTGCATTTGGTAGCTTTCTAAATTAATAATACTTGTAATTAGTAGGAAAATATTCGAATGACGTCTAAATATATATTTTAAAGAAACACTGTATAAATTTTTCTACCTATTCCTTCTGTAGTTACTTGTATTGTATATAACGTATATCCAAGATTGTGTATCTTTAGATCACACGATCATCTTACTGGTGGTAGGGCCTCTTGTGAGTCCGCAGGGATAGGTATCACCGCTCCGCCTATATCTGCCGTGAAGCAGTAATGCGTTTCGGTTTGAAGGGTGGGGCAGTCGTTGTAACTATACTGAGACCTTAGAACTTGTATCTCAAGGTGGGTGGCGCATTTACGTTGTGAACGTCTATAGGCTCCAGTAATATCGTATAAAATTAAAACCATAATACTTCTGTGGAAAATTTAAAACGTGCAAACGATTAGAAAAGCTTAAGAACACATTTTAATGAATCTTCTATGATTCGATGTTGTTGTATCTGAGGCCTTGACGTGCATCAGTGATTTGATTAAAGCAAAAAATGGCATTAATCTACGGAAAGTAGTGACACAGTTACAATGGTTCGCTGACCGTAAATGTTTAATGTAATTATAAAAATGTTTTAATCAGCATACGATTTTCATTTTTGTTTTTTTTTTTTGTGTTAAAAATGAAACCTTTCATGACGTTGACTGGATTTCTTCTAAATACAAAAAAGGCTTTCGTATATACATAATAATATGTACATAATAGATGAAACGCACGCACAATAAAAAATTCAGTTCAAAGAAATCTTGCAACAAGTACCATGCATTTTTAATGGTTTGTTTGACTACCTTTTTTTTTATTGCTTAGATGAGTGGTCGAGCTCACGACACACCTGATGTTATGTGGTAACCGGAGCCCATAGACATTTAAAACGTAAA